TGGATAATCTGGTAAAGACTTGTAAATATAATGAGGAGCGGTTTGACTCCTTAGTTAAATATCAATGTGAGTGTCAGCGCTCAATGCCAGATTCTTCAAAGTCAGTGTGTGCTGATAATATTACACCACCACCAAAACTCTATGACAGTGCCATAGCAGAGGATATTAAAATAATAAATAACTCAAATACTACTAAAAATAATATAATTGTTTATAGCGATGACATGGGAAAAATCTAGGCATAACTTTAAATAACTCTTTAAAGGGACAAAAAGTTACAAATTGCTGCATGCCTGGAGCATCTTTTAGTGACATCCTAAATAAAATTATTGTTACTAAATTTTGCCCAAATAGTACAATAATAATTTTTGTTGGTAGAAGAGGCAGTGTCAACAACAAACAGTTATTATGATATATTGAACAACTTAATAACTTAAATGTACACAAAATTGTCTTGTTCACACTGCCTTATATACAGGGATTGCCACAAGAAAATAATTTAAGACATAATTTAAATATACAAATGCATAATTTAATATGTAATAATAATTTAAATTTGACATATAATTCTAATGATAATAATCATAAATTTCATGTAATTGACATAAATAATTTAATAAAAAAGTTTTGGACAAAAGATAGGTATTACCTATCCAAATATAATTTAAGACTGATAGCAAATGTGCTATCTTATTATTTACTTTTTAACTCAGCCAACTTTTTGGCTACCAAGACTGCTTTTATTGAGCATAATCATTTGACATTTAATTTGGAATCAGTTCCAACTAATTTAAATTAGTGAATGTGACAATAGAGGCAATCTCTAGCAATAATAAGAGTTTAATTAATTTTGAATACAGCCCACAAATAAGTAATAAAAATTGTTTAAACCTGGTGCATCAAAATATACAAGGCATGTTGGGCAAAGAATTGGAAGTTGAATTGTTTTTAAATAGTAACAATATACACATCCTTTGTATTACTGAACATTGGCTAAAAGATTATAATTTCATGTTTAATTTCAGAAATCACCAGGTGGTCAGTTCCTTCAATAGAGAAAAAAGTTTACGTGGTGGCTCCTTAATATTAGCAGATAAATCATTATTATATAAAGAACGTAAGGATATTGTGAGCCTCTCTGTTGAACGAACTGTAGAAATGGCTTGTGTCGAGCTCGAGCACCTCATTGTTGTAAGTGTTTACAGACCCCCATGTGCTACTTATGACCATTTTGAAAGGATTGTGGAAGAAGTTTTACTCAAACTTAGTAAACAGAACAAGTCTGTTGTAATGTGTGGAGACTTTAATATCAATCTCCTTGAAACTTCTTCCATTAGTATTAAGTTTCGCTCATTGTTTAAATCGTATAATCTTGTAAATTTATTCTTAGAACCAACACATATTGCTGGGCCTAGTGCGACCTGTATAGATAACATTTTTACAGATGTTAAGCCCTTGCATAAATCAATTATTCAAAATTTAAGTTCAGATCACTGTGGACAGTTAGTATCACTACCTTACATACACAAAAAACAGAAAAATAAGAAAATTGTGTTTGTTCCAATAAATGAACATCGCTTGGAGAGGTTTAGAAGTAATATAATAAAAAGACTTCCATCACTTTCGTTTAAAAATAGTGCTAATTATTTGTATGCTACATTATTTGAAATCATACGTTGTGAATTTAGTAGAATATTTACTTCTAAAACTTTCTCTCTTAACAGTCGCAAATCATTTAATGAATGGGCGACAGTAGGAATTTATAAAAGTAGGCGAAGGTTATACGAGCTTTATGATGAAAGATCATATAATAGTATTGTTATATTTAGAGATTATGTAAAAACATATTCTAAAATATTTAAAAAAGTGTGCTCCACTGCTAAGGCTTTACATTTAAGCAACAAAATTAAAACTGCATCCGACAAAATTAAAATGACCTGGAGAATAATAAATAGTGAAACGGGCAAGGTCAAACCGCGCAACTCGGATTTTCAATTAAATATTAACAATAATTTAACGCGATCTGATCAAGAAGTTGCTATGGCTTTTGAGAAACATTTTACTGATGTTCCTTTTTTGACAACAAAATCATTAAATTCTTCTCCTACTGTCGCCGAATCATTGCTCAAACAAAATGTAAAGGCTTGTTCAAATACTTTTAAATTCCATAGGGTACTGCCAAAAGATATCGTCAAATATTTTAAAACTATTGATGTTAAGAAAACGGCAGACTTATGGGGGATTTCCGTTAAAGTTATTTTATCTATAATAGATACATTAGCACCTTATCTAGCCACTATATTTAATATAAGCGTCGATTCTGGTGTGTTTCCTGATTTAATGAAACATAGTAAAGTCATACCTATATTTAAATCTGGTAGTACATTAGACCCCGCCAATTTTAGACCAATTTCTGTACTACCAACATTAAGTAAAATTTTTGAAAAAATTATTTTAGATCAGATGTTAAGTTTCTTCAATATTAATAAATTGCTACATAAAAATCAATTCGGTTTTACAAGGGGTCGCTCGACAACTGACGCTGGAGTTGAGCTTATTAAACATATTTTTTGTGCATGGGAGAATTCAGAGGATGCTTTGGGTATATTTTGTGACCTTTCCAAGGCCTTCGACTGTGTTCACCATGAGATATTAATCAGGAAGCTACAGTACTATGGTGTCAAGAACACAGCGCTTAAACTTATTATTTCATATTTAAGTAATAGAAAACAGAAGGTTATTATCAATGGTAAAAGTTCTTCCGGGTCACCTGTACTAATGGGTGTTCCTCAGGGCTCAATTCTCGGCCCATTCCTGTTTCTGGTGTATATTAATGACTTACCTCACCTTGTAGGGGATAGTCATGATATAGTATTATTTGCTGATGATACTTCCTTGATTTTTAAACTTAAACGTCAATCATTTAAATGTGACGAAGTGAATAATGCTATATCAAAATTAGTGCATTGGTTTAACGTTAATAATCTGCATTTGAACGGAAATAAAACTAATTGTGTTAAATTTACAACAACGAATGTTAAAAATCTTAATACCAATGTGTTTTTAAATGGGGAGGAATTGAGCCCTGTTGTATCCACTGTTTTTCTTGGCATCACTCTTGACGCAAAGCTACAGTGGGGCCCCCATATATCTAAATTAGCAAGCAGACTAAGTTCTGCAGCCTATGGTGTAAAAAAGATTAGAGGTCTCACTAGTGTCGAGACAGCTAGATTAGTTTATTTTAGTTATTTTCATAGCATAATGTCTTATGGGATTTTGCTATGGGGAAATGCGGCTGATTCAGAAACTATTTTTGTTTTACAGAAGAGGGCCATTAGAGCTATTTACAATCTAAAACCGAGAGAGTCTCTTAGAGATAAATTTAAAGAAATTAATATATTAACTTTAGCCTCTCAGTATATTTACGAAAATTTAATGTATGTTCACAAAAACAAAGATAGTTTTAGTAAAAGAAGTGATATACATTCTGTAAACACTAGGAACAAGCACAAGCTAGTGATACCAGTTTCTCGACTCCACAGAGTCAGTAATTCATTCTTGGGGCAATGTATACGCTATTACAACAAGGTCCCGGAAAGTGTACAGGTTCTCTCTATTACCAAGTTTAAATGTTTTATTAAGCTGAAACTGTATAAAAAGGGTTATTATAGTATAAATGAATACATGGTTGATAATAACCCCTGGGAATGAGGTGATCGCTTCTAAGCAGTTTCTAAAATAAATTTTGTAAATAGTTCGTAATCATTTATATTGTAAAATTTATTTAAAAAAAAAGTCCCGCTGGGTTTCTTGCTGGTTCTTCCCAGGACAGAGGGTTTTTTCGAACCAGTGGTAAAGTAAAAAACGACTTTCAATAAGAATTACACATGTAATGTATATTGAATAAAAAATATTCTATTCTATATCTTCCCCCTTTTAATCAATGGCTACAAATTACTTTTTTATAAATTTGTTTTTCTATCTAGCTCTTTGGTAGGGTGGGATAACTATAATTACCAAACTTATTATGTTAAACTGACATAGAAAGGAACCTATATTTAGTATCACATACTTATGTATTTTTGGTTTTAATGTTAATTATAGTATAGTATTATAGGTAAGTGGATGTTGAAGCCCATAGACATCTACATTTATCCTCAATTAAGAATCAAAACGCAGATGCGTTTTCACACCTGAGGACTGAGATGGAATGCCTCGTTTCCAGTATAAAGGGTCTCCGTTTTCGCACACTCATCATACGAAAGACAGGAGCATTAAGCTGCTATTTTACGTTGGTATTGTATTGTGGTTCTAACCCGGTCGAGCCGACTTATTCAAGCTGCTACCACAATATAGTTGCATCATGACTCTACCACGTAATTCAATATATGTATTGTAAGTTAAATGTTACATTTAGCGTTAATTTAAAATATTATGTTTTTGAATACTTAACCAACGTTTGTGGGTATTACAATAATAGATCTGTGACTTATACAACTATATTGATCATAATTAATCAAAATAATAAAAGAAATTAAATCACATAAATTAGCTATTATACAATTCTAAATAACAAATCGTTTTGGTTGTAGCTAAATACTCTTTGATACACAAAGCGCGCACATAACGAACGAATCGCGCGCTTACTTTTTTGCTGGCTCACTTAATCCGTTCATGTACAGCAGCCCAAACTAGAGTTAGGGAGATCCAACTCGAGTTAGTAACTCGAGTTGACCCATCACTACCAATCACTACTCATTGCCTCATTGCCAATGCCATACCAAATGTCAATTTGATATTGTCAATTGTCATATTCATAGATTTCAATTTCATAGTATGTGTAGTATGTACGTAATAAATAATAATACGTCTATGTAGTATGTACTAGAAAACTACGAAATGTTTTGCTTAGTGTATTTATAAATTACCACATTATGCTAACTAGTAAATTGAATATAATATTCTATATTCATAATAATGTATGAAATATATTTTTCACAATGTCATCCAAACTACCACAAACTACTTTAAGCTTAAAACAGGTAATAATTGAAGAATACTTATGTGATTTAAGGCAACTTTCCTGAAATAAAGAAAGACTTATATGTATACTTCTTTTTTTAGTTTCTCTTACGTCAAGAAGTATTAAAATTATACAGGGAAATATTCAGAACGTTGAGACAAATACCAGACGAAAGCACACGTTCAGAACTGAAGGTTTGGGCCAGAGCAGACTTTAGAAATAATAAACATCATACTGATGAATCAGCAATTAGGAGCATGTTGTATTATGGAAGGAAATCATTGACAGATTTAAAAAAATCATTAGCGCTTAGTAAAAGCTAACAAAGAAACCAAACATTGAAAATTTATAATTACTTTACTATCACTATGGCCCATCACAAATTCATTGCTGGACTAAGGCCTCCCCCATAGATGATTGCCACTAATGACAGTCCTGAGCCACACGCATCTATCAACTCCATGCATGTTTCACCAAGTCATTTCTTCATCTAGTGGGAGGTGCTCAACAATGCCCTTACCAGTATAAGGCTGCTACTCAAAACCTTTTTTCCCCATCAGTTGCTGGTTCTGTAAGCTACATATATGGCCAGCCTATTGCCACTTAAATTTAGTGATCTGCCAGGCTCACAATTTCTCCGGACAAGATCCTTAATGAGTAAATCTACTAAGGAACATGAGTTACTAACATAGTTTTTAAATTGTAATTGAAATAAAGTTTATATTGAGATTTTTATTTCATTTATTATAAATAATACCATTGACCACAATTAATAGAAAAGGTATATTAATCTTAATACACATTAAAAAGGGCTACCAGACAAAATCAATGTCAAGGACCCCAGTCTATTATAGCCATGTAGTATAAGTCTGTAATTCAGTACAAAGTATGATTTTCTATACTAAAGTTATAGACATTTATTTTAATAACTTCTACCTTATTTATCTATAGATCTATTAAATTGATCATAACATGAATCTTAAGACAACTTTAAAACAGTGAAATAACAACTGAAAATAAAAATATGAATCAACAAAAAAAAAACTCAAAATTGCTTTACAAAATGTGTGGGTTATGATATGCACAGTAATTTTATTGTATGATGGAAGAAGACACGGGAGAACATAACATTTAAACAATTAAAGCTTTATTGCATAGAAAAACTAATTACCTACAAAAATTTCTTTATAAAACAGGTATATCAATATTGGTATTGTAACACCTGTCCCAACCACTACAGTAAATACTGTGAAAAATGTCACAAAATCACCATTCTTGTTCAGATACTTAGCTAAAGTTTGTATAAGACTTTTTGCTATATGATGACCATCAGTTCCATAGCAAGGGACTACATTCAAAAATGCTATACCCATTGAGAATATGAAAATGTATCTTAACAGCTTTTCCAGGTGTGAGGGTGAAAAAAATGACATCAGTGATATTCTAGGAAAGTATTGATCAATTATTACTGTCTCGTATAAGTCATGTGGAAGACCTAAATACAACACAGCATTGTCATCCTTTCTCTCTATGATTATCAAGTATGTGTGATTATTTAACGATGGCTTCAAGCAATGCATGCTACGAGGGCAGCTGTAACCATTTGATTCAGTGCATTTAGCCAATTTATTCTTCACCATATCCCTAGGTTTCAAACAAGAATATTGACCAGGTAATACTGAATCTATAACCACTTTTGGCTCCATGTACTCAAAGCAGAAACTATATAAATTATCTTTCCTACAACATTCTACTACATCATTTTCTTTTACAGTCTCCATCATTATTTCATCATTTTGAGCAATGAATTCAGCACTTGTACAAATTCCATAGCGATCATGAGCTATATGAAGGCAATATGACCAATCATTTGCATTTTTTATATCACATCCATTGATACTTGTAACTACATCACCTACATTAAATCCTCTTGCTTCTTTTAGAGGTGAGTCTTCAGTGAAATCTACAACTTTTACACCCACATCAGTCTGATAAGCTATGTTAAATAAAATAGGTGCAGAGAAGAAAAGTAACATGGCCATAAAAGCCATCACAACATTGTGCCACACTCCTGCACAATAAATTCTTAATCTTTTTGTTATAGCTAGGCTGTTCAAATGTTCTGTATTCAACTGCACAAAAGCTATAGGAATTATTGTAAAAACATACACACCAACAGCAATTAATTGAACATCTTCCTGGGCAGCAGCCAAGGCATGACCAAGCTCATGAAAAATGCTACTCATTCCTATTGCTAGCAAGTAAACCCAGAAATCGGAAGTAGGAATATTAACGCCAGGTAACACACCCCTAATTTCAGGCATACTGTTAATTTGTATGGTTTCATAAAAATGTTCAAAAATAAATGTGAGTAGTATCCATAATGAAAACGGTAGAAACAGCCACACAGTGAATAAATAACCACAAGTAAACCACTTCCTAAGCAACCTAGTAAGGTTTTTGCTCCATCTATAAAGAGATCTGTTAAAAGCAGTGGTTGTCCACGAAAAATTAAATACTCCAATTTTCAAACCGGTCCCCTCCAAGAATGCATAATAAGGATAATGCATACAACTCTGAAAAATAACAAATTTTTACTGAGCGTTGCGTCGTCTTTTTTTGTTTTTAAAATTATTATTATGGACAAATAATACACACCTTGAATAGAGAATTAAAAAACCATATTACTACATAAAAAGCTAATACGAATGAACAAAGTACTGTAAATGCCATTTTTTTATATTAGTTTACAAATAAGTTAGGATTTTATATGCCATTTTTGTTTACAATCAAAGAACCGGTATACCCTTGTAAAAATCCACCCTTATCTAGCAGTCTAGCTTGCTACTTATATATTTATCTATGTAAAAATCGATGAAATAATCTTGACTAGGCATGGGCACAAAATATCGATATATGTAAAAAACGTCGATATTTTTAATCGTGATATATCGATATACCGATATTTATTTTAAAGTATGGAATTCATATGCATTTCGATATATTTTAAAATTTTATATTAATGGGCAATCATGATACAATAAAAGGAGCTAGAAAAGCATTTATGTGTGGTTGTCGTATTTTTTTTCGTCGTCCAACTGTCAGTAATATAACATTTTGGTCCGTATCCTTACATCATGCAGATGTTGACAATATATCGATATATTTTTTCCCTTGCCATCCATAATCTCGGCACAGACTAATATGTTGCTTACGCATATTCAAGCTCTGCCAAACGTAAGCTTACAGATCCTTTACCCAGCTTCCCAATGAAAAAACTAGGACATAAAAATCACCCTTCGGCCTCCTATCAAAATACATTCGTCCACCCTGACTTCAATACAGTTAGACCTGTGAAAATTCCTCTCATGGTCACGGGAGGGACCACGGGTGCTGAAAAGCACCCGAAACGTCATTGAAAAAGTTAAAGTAAACGCGATAAAATCCGTAAAAATTAGTTTCATTTAATGTGTAGTCTTCGCGTTAATATAAGATATCTTTTTGCCTTATTTGAACATTAAATTAGATAAAGCGAGACAAGTAAATTGACTCAATTTATGTAGAATTGTAGGTTCCCTCCACAGACTAATATCTGTATGCATCGTAGATAGAGGATTGACTAGATATTAGATAAAGCATTCGCGTATGCTTTTGAGATAGAAATAGGTGGAAGGTACTTTCACTGGGTTACCAGATATTGTTCCATTTCCCCCGTTATGGGTTTATTTATATTCACAGCACTTACATTCTTACAAAAAACTTAATTGTTACCATAAAAAAATGTTCTTTTATAATTCAGATGATTAATTCATTTCTCTTGAAAATACATTCTGTGACTAAAAACTACGGGCGGAAACGGCGTAAAAACAGAATCATCATTCTGATTTCGACGGCACTAAGTGAAGACACTACTAGCACAAAGTGGGATATTGATAATAAATAACAATATGATGTATGTGCTTAAATATTAATTAAGAATAAAAATATTAAATAATAAACAAAAATTTCCTCGTGTCGAGTTGTTTTTACAACAAAAAAAAAATCAATAATGTTTTAACATACCACTCCATCACAAGTTCAGTGCTGAACATAGACCTCCGAAAGGAAAGGCTTTCCACTCAGGTTTTGTAGTACAAAACACGGTTATGAGGCTACTCCCGCGATTTCCTGCATGTTTTGCTAAGTTAGTGTCTTGTGTGCGGCAAATTGTGGCGTACAAGAGAATTTGTACGCCACAACTGGCCGCACACAAGAAATGATATTACCCCGCGTCGTGAGCAATAATACAAGATGGGGATGGGGCAGTAGCACTTTCCCGATGAAAACTTAAACTAATAAATAACTGCGGTGGCCAACCAGCATAACGCATATTTTCACGCAGGCGTGGCAACTATGGTAAAAGTCATCCTATGAGGATATCTAGGGTACAAATACATTACATGGACATGTAATCTGTAGCCATGTGTAGCCACTATGGCTCGTGCGGCACGAGCCGCAGGCGAGTGTTTGATGCCCAATGTCAGCCTCATACATAATTTTCAACTAAGCGTACTTGTATCTTAATGTAATGTATTATTATTTTACTTTAAGTGCTGGTTCGACGATTTTCAGCTGTTTCGTAGTACAAGGTAGCTCATCAATAATATCCTGAAAAAAAATATTGAACATGTAGAAAAAATATCCCTATAAAATTCAAAAATGCAATTATAGTTAATAACTCAAATTCAAAATCAAAATAGGTTACTCACTGGAATAAAAAGTGTTGGAATCGCATTCGGCAAAAAATATGTCCTCTTGTGCGTTTTACGAAAATAACGCGACTCAAAATGTTTCGAACATATGCGGTCATTCTTCTCAGGTTGCCATTCCTTTCTCCCAGTAGCTACAATCCACATATTTATAATGTTTGCTTCTTTAGGAAATCTAAAGTAAATAAATTATATTGGTAATTAAATTAAGGTTAAAAAATTGTTCACAGTCGTTAAGAAATTAAGGAATTTTTTTGCCAAGCACTGGTATCCCTTTAGTAATTATACAGCAAATTTGAAACAATAAAAAATAAATGGCGACCTTTAAATAAAATAACGCTTCTTAATTTAGTCGTATAAAACGAAAAAAAATTGTAGGTTATTTTAGTAATTTATTGTATATTTTCTGATAATGATACACAATTAGGTTTGATTTACATGTAACAACAGATAATATCCCTCTAAAGTCATATTTTGGTAATAATTCGATTATATAACTAAACTCAAAGTTACTTATAATTACCTGGTTATAAATATTTGTTTTTGTAGATTTATCTACAAACATTTGCTATAATGAGGCCTCATTTTGATAGCGACTATTAGTAAACGATCTCTGCGAATAGTATGTACATTGGTACCTCTGTGAAGAAGCCTAGTGATTTGTACATAGTATTTGTTACACTTGAAAGCAATTTAATCCCATCAGTATTAAAAAATCCAATAATTTTACCTTTAAAAAAAATTACGTTGAAAACAAAGATCCAGACGCAGACTATTTATTTTACAGCTTAGAAACACTTATTCAGTGCGGGAACGAACCATCGGTCCTGCAGTGCTGCAGCCAACCGCTTAGCCACTGCACTACGGAGTCGTCACATATTTTTTACTTAAATAATTACTAGTATAATAGTGCATTTTTTATTTTATATTTTCTTAATACAGCCGACTCTCGTCAATTCGAAACTCGAGGGACTCTTAAAATATTACGAATTATCGAGTGTTTGAAATATCAAATGGTTCAAAATTTTTGAGAGAAAATAAATAAAACTTCGAATCACTGAGTGTTGATCAATTATTATTTATTAACTGCTATTGGCCGTGTAGTGGCGGTTAAGAATACCCACTACCCCATATCTTCCAGTGGGTGTCGTAAAAGGCAACAAAGGGAAACAGGCAAGAGATGGGCAGCAGCATCTTCCTGATAACAGCAAAAATACAATAAAAAAACTGCGGTTGCCAACCCGCTCGCCAAGCGTGACAACTATGGCAAATACCACCCTATGAATGAATGAATGTAACAAAGAGACGGCCGCCGGTCCCCGGCGGCCCCGCTATTCCTGGCTACGGTGGCGACCCTGGTAACGGCGGGGTAGGGGGTGCTAAGAATCTCCGGTGGAGGTTCGGTTGCCACCTACGACGACTCGACCTGGCAACATACAACGCACGCACCCTGAGGACTGACGAGAAGATTGTGGAGCTGGAAGAAGAGATAGACAAGTTACGCTGGCATATTATAGGATTATCCGAAGTCCGAAGAGAGGGGGAGGAAACGGCAATCTTCAAATCCGGCAAATTGTTCTATTACCGGGAGCCCTCCCGGCAAGACACCTCCTTGGGACAGATGGTCGCCTGACCATCTATCCCAAGGAGGTGTCGGATTTATCGTCCACAAGTCTCTCGTTAACAACGTTTTAAAGATTGAGAGTGTGTCGACGAGGGTTGCGTACCTTATACTCAGAATCACCAAACGGTATTCGCTGAAGGTCATACAGATTTACGAACCAACCTCGGCACACCCCGATGAGGAGATGGAGGAAATGTATGAGGATATCTCTAGAGCCATGCATTCCTCCATAAACCAATATACGGTGTTAATGGGAGACTTCAATGCAAAACTAGGCACAAGAGAGAATGGTGAGCTGAAAGTAGGGAAATTTGGAATAGGGCAACGGAACCCAAGGGGCCAGCAGCTGGCCGACTTCATGGAGAAAGAGGGACTCTTTATGATGAACTCTTTCTTCCAGAAGCGGCCTCACAGGAAGTAGACCTGGTCGAGCCCCGACGGTTCGACAAAAAATGAGATTGACTTCATTATGACGACCAGACGACAACTGTTCAGTGATGTCTAGGTGATCGCGAGGGTGAAAACCGGCAGCGATCACCGAATGGTTAGAGGCACACTGAACCTAAACGTTAAGTTGGAGAGGTCTCGTCTAATGAAGTCAACGCTCCGTCCCCCTCGTTCTCTAATCCAAAGTCCCGAAACATTTCAGCCCGAGTTACAAAACCGTTTTCAGTGCCTAGAAGACTGCAATGAAGTGGACGATATGAATGACAAGCTCGTGGAAACTGTCCATGCGGTCGGAGCTAAGTTCTGCAAGACCCGCCGCAGAAGAACACAAAAACTCTCCGATCACACTCTTAATTTCATGGTTGTTAGACGGGAGATGAAGCTACATTCTTCAACTGATTTGACAGCATACAGGCAACTGAACAGACAGATCTCCAAATGCATGCGGCGGGACTTACACAACTTCAATACAGCTCGTATTGAAGAAGCGATCGAGCGGAACCAAGGCTCCAAAGTCTTTTCCAGAGATCTGTCTGCCAGAAAGAGCCAACTGTCAAAGCTGAAGACAGGATGTGGCAGCATCGTTTCCGGGGCAACTGAGATTTTGAGTGAGATTGAGAGGTTCTATGGGCAGCTGTACACGTCATCGTTGGAGCCACACGCAAGTGTGAGTAACGATCCAAGAGCGAGTCTTATCCGACATTATTCCGATGATATCCCGGACGTCAGTCTGAGCGAGATTAGAATGGCTCTCCAGCACCTTAAAAACGGCAAGGCCCCAGGCGAGGATGGAATTACAGCGGAGCTTCTGAAAGCGGGTGGAATACCGGTACTTGCAGTCCTTCAGAAGCTCTTTAATTCCGTCCTCCATGGTGGCTTTACACCGGAAGCGTGGAGCACAAGTGCGGTGGTAT